CTTCTGCCATGAAAGATCACTGTGATGCTCGTGCATTAAGAACAAAATGGTTTTGTTAACTGCCCAGTGATAGAGGACCAGACGTCTACTGAGACATATTCTCTTAGAAGTAACTTTCAAAAGAAATATTGGAGACAGAAGTTTTCCTCCTGGTCAGCTTCCTTGTTGATAAAAATCTAAGGATCCCCAAGACTTTTCTTTACCTTTAAATTTTCATTAAAAAGGAGATGTGAAATGTTCCAAAGACAGTCTAATGCCTCCTTTCAAGTTCCAGTTTTCCCTTGTTGCATACACAGTTTTCAGGCCTGTCATTTCCTCCTATATTAAACAAAATGTGACAAAAATCTCAATCCTCTGTTGGCTCCTACCATCCACAAGTTGCTCTGCTCTGTCTTCCCACTTGCCTTCCTTTCTATTTATTCCTCTAAGGCACTTTCCTTTATCTTGTCCCTTCACACTCACCTGTGTTTACACCATTGATGTTCTTGTTTCATTTTGTCTGCTCACTGCACACAAATATAAGTCCCAGTGAACAGGTGAAAGATAAATGCCCTGGTTTCCAGATGCCAACTAATCAGTGCACAAGGCTGTATCTGTCACCTGTCTTGGAGGCTGCTTTTGTTGCCCTTGCTCTTTCTATGTCACATGTCTAGATAGATACACATCTGAGAGCAAGGGAATGCTAACGTGAATTAAAAATCAGAACCTTTAGGAACATAAATTCACATTCCATTGGGAAATGTAGAATTGGAAATAATGCACACAGTCTTTGAACTTAAAAGTTCACGAGTGATCAAGGGGACAGTTCACCCCCTCCTAGTACAATTCTTCTGTTCTATTCCCAACTATTCTGGGACTTCTCACAGCAGACATATATAATGCTGCCTCTCAGGCTTCTCCTTTCATGGTTCCCTTCATTATGCTCAGACTCATAAAGTTTTTGTTCATGACTCTTGTGCACGTTTTCTTGTGTATTATTAAACTGATTGCATCAGCTTCTTGGCACATGTCGTGTCTGTTCTTGTTCACAGTGGATACATGTTTATTCTTGTTTTTCATAGTGTGTGGGAAATGCAAAATACTGAAATCACTTTGAAATGGTCATAGGATGCTTCAATTTGGTTGCAGGAGAAATATTGTTTTATTTTTAACTTGTCCTCTTCCTCTTTTGTTAGCTTTGTAATGCTACTTATGGTTAGAGTAACTGCCTTTCTATATTTGCAATTACAATATCCATGCAGTGTCTTTTATCTACATAAAATTCTACTTGGGTACCATTCTTGGCTTGTAAGACTATCAGAAAATGTTGAAGTGCTAAATACCTGAGTCTTTCCTAGTCTTTTTCTATTATTCTTTCTTGTTAAATCTTTGCAGGGGCTTTTCTGCTTTGATCTTTCACATTTATTGAAATTGCCTTCACTCCAGTGCTGGAACAAACATGCTAAAATAAATGCTAATAGGAAGAAAGCTAAGGGAGAAACCACATATGGAGATGTACCAGTATTTTATATACATACACTATATTTCAATTGTTTTTAGTTAATTTTGTTACTGTGTTATGTTGATATAGTATCTTTATTTTATGGATGGGGAACTGACACAGAGATGATTTGAGCAAATCCCTCCAGTCAGTGAGATCCTGAATTGGTGGGCACTGACATCTATATATGTGTGTGACCCACCCATTCAGGCAGTAATTTAGATGAGAAAAGCAATACAGGACAGTGAAGATACAGGGGAGTGATAAATGAGCTGCATACACTATTACATAAATTCTACATCAAATGATAAGGCGTGGAAACCATTAGGACATGTCTATTTGCTGATAACACATGGGAGTGGGGATGGGTGTCAGAGAATGTTATGGATCACATTTGAAGAATGACTCGCCACACCTGGTGTGACACCGTGGAGGTCCACTGATCCTGGCTTCTCCTTTTGTACTTTACCTTTTCTATGTTACAACAATAATAATTCCTCATAAGCATATGGTAAAAATCAATAAAATGCCCTTTGAAAATTTGGGATCCTTCACTAAATGAGATTATGTAAATACAAGTGATGTGTAACTCCTCAGTTAGAAAAGATATTTTACTGGGTGCCATTCTTTTTCCTTTGAAACTGTCCATTGAGCAGTGAATGCCCTGATCAGGAATTGCTTTAGCTGTTGTGCTTCTGAACTGAGTGCTATCAAATGACATTGTATTTCATTTAGACGTATTCTTGGTATGTTATTTGATGAAAGAATACTTTCAAAATGAAAAACAATAGAATACCAATTATTTTGACACAATGTATTCATATTTAGAATAATTTAATACAGATTAATTAGAACCACTTTTCATGTTGACTTACTCTATAACTTCTTCTTATTTGAAATTCATGGCTCCAAATTATATATAGCACTTCAAACTTGCTTTTTAAATTACAGGATTGGAAATATTTTATTTATAAAGGGCCTTCAACTAGAAAATATTTATTAATTCAATATATTTATTATATATATTTGTATATATATAGATTTTTATAAACTTGTGGTTTTGGTTCTGTTTTGTACCTTGCTATGGATGAATGTATTAACTGAAGTTGACAATTATAAAAGGAGAAGTTATATCCTGGGATCAGTCATTACTAAAACATCTACAATATATATTGCAAAACTGTCATATAATAAATTTTTCTGAAATTTGTTAAACTTTAGTGCAGTGAATAGCATGGATTTTTTTCTTTCTCTTTTGCTGTCCCACTACTATGATATCTATAAAAATTCATTTTTTAATTAATCTTATTGGTACATTTAAGGTATACAATATTATGACACTCATCTTTGGAAATTTGTACCTTTACATAATCTATCTCTGTTCTTATTCTTCCCCCATTCCGCTGCCTTCCATTCCACCCCTCCACCCCTCCTGATCTACAAAGATTTTTGTTCCATTTTTTCTTTTTCTTGTATTTATTCCATTCCCTTCTTTCTTTTCCTCTCCCGCTCCCACTTGCCCTTCCCCTTCACAGCTTTCCTTCCTATTTCACATTATGAGTTATATCTTTTAGTCCTTATTTACATTTCAGTTTCTCACACTAGAGAAACTGTTTGGTATTTACTATTTATTTCACTTAAGAGTATGGCCTCATTGTGCATCCATTTAGCTACAAACATCTCTAGGTTTTGTTCTTTATGGCTGAGTAGTACTCCATTTTATTAAAAAGGCACAATTTCTTTATCCACTCTCCAGCTGATGGGTAATTAGGTTGCTTCCAAGTTTTAGCTATCATGAATAGTGCTGCTATGAACAGGGTTGCATATATCTCACTGTGGTATGATTCTTTTAATTCTTTGGGGAGGAGACCCAGCCAAAGAATAGCTGGGTCAAATGAGACTTTCAGTCCTACTTCTTTGATCTATCTCCATGCTGTTTTCCACAGTGGTTGCACTAGTCTACACTCCCACCAGCAGTGGAGCAGGGATGCTCTTTCCCCACAGCCCTAGCAGCATTTGTTACTGGTTGATTTCATGACATAAGCTATTCTATCTGGGGTGAAGTGGAATCTCAGCATTGTTTTCATCTTCATCTCTTGAATGACCAATGATGTTGAATATTTTTTCATATGTTTATTTGCTACTTCTACTTCTTTGAGCAATATCTGGTCATTTCAGATGAGGTTTGGTTCATAAAATTTTTCCTGCACCAAAATCTTCAAGAGTTCTACCTAACCTCCATTCCAGCCAGTTTAGTGTTTCTACTTTTTTAAAAATATTTTTATTGGAACATTTTAGATATATAATACAGTTATATTCATCATTGGTATCTTGTACCTTTACATGATATATCTCGGTTCTTATTTTTTTCCCATTCCACTAGTCTCCCTTCCCCCCTCCACCCTTCCCTATTTACAAAGATTTTGTGCTATACTTTACAGAGTAGAGGTCTTTGATTTCTTTCCTTAGGTTGATTCATAGGTGTTTCATTTTTCTGGATGTTATGGGAGTTGTTTCTCTAGTTCTTCTCTCATTGAGTCTGTTTTTTTGTGTATAGGAAAGGTATTGATTTTTGTGTGTTGACCTTGTATCCAGCAAATTTATGGAATTTGGTTATTAATTCTAGAAGACTTTTGGTGGAGTTCTTGGAGTCTTCTATATAGCATATCATCTCATCTGCAAATAATGACAATTCTACTTCTTCATTTCCTATCTTTATGCTTTTTGTTTCTTTCTCTTGTCTAGTTGGTTTGGCTAATGTTTCCAAAAATATTGAACAGGAGTGGTGATAGTGTACATCCTTGTCTTGTTCCTGATTTTAGTGTGAAGAATTTCAGTTTTTGACCATTTAGTTTGATATTGGCTGTTGGCTTTTCATACGTGGCTTTTATCAGATTGAGGTAGAGACCATCTATTCCATTTTTTTGGAGTGTTGTATCATAAATGCATGTTGGAATTTGTGAAATGATTTTTCTGGATCTATTGAGATGATTATATGCATTTTTTGTCCTTGGCTCTCTTAATATAGTGTATTACATTTATTGATTTGCGTATTCTTAACCATGGGATGAATCCCACTTGGTCAGGATATCTGATCTTTTTGATGATCTTTTGCATTCTATTTGCCAGTATCTTATTAAGGATTTTTGCACCTATGTTCATTAGTGAGATTGACCTATAGTTCTCTTTTTTGATTGGGTGTTTCTCTGCTTTGGATCAAGGTGATGCTTACTTATACTAATGAATTTTGGTGTATCACTTTCCTTTCAATTTCATTGAAGAGTTTAAGCAGTGTTGGTAGTAGTTCCTCTCTAAATGTCTTGTAGAATTCAGCAGTGAAGCCATCAGGACCTGGGATTTTCTTAGTTGGCAAGTTTTAAATTATGTTTTCATTTTCAGTGATTGATACTGGGTTGTTCAGAATTTTTAGGTCATCTTCATTCAACATTGGTAATTCATAATTATGTATCTAGGAATCTGTCCATTTCTTCTGTGTTTTCAATCTTATTAGTGTATAGGTTCTAGAAGTGGCTATTGATGATCTCCTGGATTTCTGCTGAGTCCATTGTAATTTCACTCTCTTTATTCCTAAATGGTTGTATTTGGGCCTTTTCTTTCCTGTTTTGACAAGGTTGGCTAAGAATTTGTCAGTTTTATCTATTCTTTTGAAGAACCAACTTAATGTTTTTTAATTGTTCTTTTAGTCTTCATTGCATTGATTTCTGCTCTTATCTTTATAATTTCCTCCCTTGTATGAGGTTTGGGTTTGTCCTGTTTTTTTTTTTTTTTTTTTGAGTCTTGAGTTTCAGCATCAGTTTGGGTAATTGAGCTCACTCTGTTTTCCTAATATGTGTATTCACTGTTATGAATTTCCCTTGTAAGACTCCTTTCATTGTGTTCCATAGCTTCCAATATGTTGAAATGTCATTGTCATTTAGTCACAGAAGCTGCCTGATTTCTTCTTTAATTTCCTCTGTGACCCATTGGTTATTCAGAAGTGTGTTGTTCAGTTTCCATGTGTTTATGAAATTCTTGCCATTTCTTTTGCTGTTGATCTCCAGTTTCATCACACTATGGTCTGATAATATACAGAGGATAACTTCAATTCCTTTGCACTTATTGACTATGTGGTCTATTTTGGGTAATGACCCATGTTCAGCTGAAAAGAATGTGTATTTTGATTTTGTGGGGTGGAACACTCTGTAAACATCTGTTAAATTAATTTGTTCAAGAGTTTGATAGAGTTCTAGTATTTAATTGTTTATTTTTTTATCTAGTTTATCTGTCTATTTGTGACAGTGGAGTATTGAGGTCCCCCACTACTATTGTATTAGTGCCTATATTATTTTTCGTGTTGGTTAGTATTTGTTTTATATAGTTGAGTGCACTAGTGTTTGGTGCATATATATTAATAACCATCAACTCTTCCTCTTGGATTGTTTCCTTTACAAGGGTGTAGTATCCCTCTTTGTCTTTCTTAATCGTGGTTTGAAATCCACTTCATCTGTAAGATGACAGCTACCCCCCCCTTTTTGTTTCCTGACACATGGAGTATTGTTTTCCACTCTTTTCAGGCTATGATTTTTTTTCCTTTTTTTTCTTCTGGTACATATTAGATACTTTGTTTCAATTTTTTCCTTTTCTCTTATTTTTTTTCTTTTTCCTTTTTAGCTTTCCCCTACCCTCTCACTTCCCCTACACTTTTAGATATTTTTTTCCTATTCCACAATATCAGTTATATATTTTGATTCTTATTGACACTTTTAGTCTATCATTGAATTAAGTGTTTCTTGTATGTAGCATATTGTTGGATCTTGCTTCTTGACCCATTCTGCCAGTCTATTTTTTTTTTATTGGTTAATTGAGACCATTAACATTGATGGTTATAACTAATATGTATTGACTTATCCATGCTATGAACTTTCCTTTTTGTTTGATTCTCCATCTTTGCATTTAATTTCTTGTCATGCCTGATAGATTTCCTGCTGGGCTTCCTGGGGTTGTTATCCTCATTGCCTTTGACAATATTGTATAAAAATTTTTGGAGTGCTGGTTTGGTATTCATGAAGTTCTTCAAGTGCTTTTTGTTATGAAAGTATCTTATTTCTCCATCAATTTTGAAAGATAGTTTTGCAGAGTACATCAATATGGGTTGGGGGTTATTTTCCTTTAAGGGCTTAAAATATGTCATTCTATGCTCTTGTCAAGTGGGTTTGTGTTGTCAAGTCTGCTGGGATTCTGAAGGGCTTTCCTTTGTTTGTGATTTGTTTCTTTTCTCTAACTGCTTGTAGGATTTTGTTCTTCATATGAGTTTCTGGAATCTTAACTATTGTATGCCTATGTGTAGATTTTTTTTTTTTTTTTTGGATCATGGCTTGTTGGAGTCCTGTGTGCCTCAATTATCTGTATATCAGGTTCTTTCCCCTTATTTGGAAAATTTTCTGCCATTACTTCTGTGAACAGGTTTTTAAAAATGTCATGTACACTATTTTCTGTTTCTTCATCAACTGCAATTAGTATTATGTTATTCATATTTGCATCTTCTAGCAGCTGCTGGATTGATTTGTCATGGTCCCTTACTATTTTTAAGAAATTTTTATTTTCTTGGTCACTAACTGCAATCCTACCTTCTATATCTAAAATTCTGTCCTCACATTGGCTCATTGTGTTGTGCAAACTTTCATTGGATTTTTTTAATTTTCTGGAAATCTGTTTGCATTTGTTTTATGAAGTCCATTTGCTTCCTATGTTGGGATTCCGTCATATTCCTCAGCACCTCTATTTTATTTTATCCAGATCCTCTTTTGTTGCCAGTTCAGGGAGTCCAGATGGTTGATATCAGATTGTTCTATGCCATTGCCCTTTGGGGTTGTCTTACATCATCTGGAAATCTGGTTTTGATATTTATGTATGTGTCTTCTCATTTCAACAGATGCAGCCTGCTATGCCTTTGTTGAGGGAAATTTGCTCACCCAGTGGTCTTCAATTCTCAGTAAGCCACTGAGGAGTCTTTACTCTGCTGCTCACCAGTATACCAATTCCTGGGTTTAGAATGGTGGCCTTCTGGATCTCTGAGCTGACCTGTTGTCTGGGTGGGTTTCTGGCTAGGGTCTCTGAACATGTGATGATCTAGGTGTGTCTCTTGCTGGGGTCCCTATGTACCTGTTGTCTGGGACAGCCTTTGTCTAGGAGCTATGTACCCCAGTTCCTGTTGTCTGCAGATTCTGCCTAGGGTCTCTGTGCACTTATCAATGGTATTGGGCTGAGCCTCTGGGTGTTGCTTGTACACCTGTGTAGATCTTTTCCAGGCAGATGCTTGGCTGTGGCCTATGGTATAGTGGGCCTCTGGCTGAAGCTTGCATGACTTGTACCTCTCTTCTGGACCTGCCATTGGCTTGGGAAGGTGTGCCAGTCCCTCTTGAGGTCCAGGCAGGGTCCTGGCTGGGATCTACCTGCAGAAGTGCCCCTCTTCTTCCCACAGCTGCTCCTTGCAATCTGTGCATTGATACAAATTCTTAATAGTAGTTGATCTTTTATTTTATTTTCAAACTGATTCCTATAGATTTTTGTTTGTTTTGCCAAATATTTGGGACTTTTGGTATCTCCCACTCCCTTTTCAGCACTTGGAAGGAGTGAAAAGGGTAATTTGTTTTTCTAAGTCTTTTTGCTATACATCTTTTGAAAAGAATGGAGATATACACTTAATTCTCCTTGACTATCTATCAACTTAAATTCATGTGGAAAAAATGGTAGGAAGGATTAGAAAAATATAAAATTTAACCAAACTGAATAACATGTGTACCTAGATGAAGAAATACTGCAAAGAAGCATGCAGGACCCCAGCATTTCTAGCACTATCTGCAAGTAAACACAGGTGCAAATTTTAGCATCATTAAATATGTTTGGTATCTATCCTTTGGGGCATTACCCTATCCATAGTGATGACAAGGAGGCTCTTAAGAGAAAAGATTGAGACATCTGGGCAGCTGTGTGAATCAGCAAGAACATAATTGATAAGCTTCTTTGGGCACTAAAATCTCCATTTAAAAAAATAATTTCTACAAAAAAGGTAAGTTATTACCACCAAATTGTTGTTTCTGCTCTTTAGCATGTAAATACACTTGAACATTTCAGTACTTATCCTCTTAATGTCTAGTCTTCTAAAAAAAAGTGTCCATTGTAACAAGCTATGGCAATGATCCTGAATGTAGCCTTAAATGTGTTCGTTTTATCTACAATTATTGATTCCCAATCAATATAGTGTATGTTAAGTGAAAATTGTTTTTCAAGTCCTAAAACAGTTTTCCAAATAGTTATTATTGAAATGTATCTACTTTGAAACATGCAATTAGGCAAGCAATTATTATTATATGGATGCATATTATGTGTACATTTTTATGGGATGGTATAATTTCATACATGTATACAGTGGGCAACGATCAAATCAGAGTAATAAGCACTTCCATCTTCCCAAATGTTAATTATTCTGTGTTGTGAACTTTCATTAAGAAAGGAATTCTTAAAATCTGTTTTTTGGTGGGCTGGCAGTTTAGCTCAGTGGTGCTACCAACTTCTCAAGCAGGAGGACTAGAGTTCAATCCTCAGTACCAACAAAATAAAACAAAACCGTATATTGGTGACTAGAGGCAGGATATGAATGATAAAGGCAGATTAGGGGATTATTTTACCCACACAAAAGATTCATCATATAAATTAGTGATCACTTTTAACAGTTCTAATTCTTGCCTGATGTGCAGGCGCCTGGATTTCAATCCTCTGGTTTGTGACTGTGATTTAAAGTGGCTGGGAGAAGTTTTACACGGCTATGCCCAAAATGGCCAGACTCAGGCACCTGCAATGTGTGACTATCCTCGAAGACTCCATGGGTGCCCGGCTGCTTCAGTAACAGTTGAGGAATTTAACTGTGATATGTAATTTTCTCTGAGTATATAAAAAGAAATGTCTTGTGCTTGTCTTCCTTCTATAAAGGTTTATTACATGATATTGCATTTGAAAGAGCACATTATCAATAATGTTTTTAAGAGAGTTAAAGTATGTTCAACTTCTTTTTTATCATCTGCATCTAAGGAATTTTTTCAACAGAAACTGTAAGTTTTGGGAAAGTCATTCAGGATCATTTAACCCAAACTTTATAATTTCAGAAGAAAAATATTAAGAAAAATGTTTTTTTTCAACAAGGTCATTAGAAGCAATGCCCAGTTTAAAGTCTCCACTTATACCTCAGTACTATTTAGTGCTTATTATCAATAATTTTTGGACTTTAGACACAAAAATTGCTAGTATTAACTGTTAAGAAGATCATTTAGGCAAATACAGTCATTGTTGGTTTTTTCCCAATATATTTTGCGAACACATGTATGACTGTAGTAATGAAAATCAGTTTTACTATAAATTTTTAAATAATGCACATGCTGGATTTATTAAGCCTGTGTTCCTATTCTGACAACCCTAATGAATCCATCTAGTTTCATTTAAAGAACTAATTATATTTACTTATAATATTATTTGATTTTCATTTAAAGTTTTTAACATAAATATTAAACTGTTTCTGTATGCCTTGATGTATTCCAATATGAAATTTTAAGTAATAATAGATACACATGCATACTCATATGTATATATATATGAGAGAGAATGAGAGAATTCAGTTTCTTGGAAATTCACTCATGATTATTTAGAGAAGAAATTTGCTTTATAACATTCTTTCACTGGTGAGCCAATTAAAAATTTCTCTAATTAGATAATTTAAAAAAATATATCAATATATTTTAATTACATCATATTAAGAAGAAAAATGAGTTGGTTTTTATTGCCAAGTAACTCTCAAACTACTCCACAGTTTCCATTTTTATACCACTTCTATTTCATGCATAGTTAGATTTACCTGGGTTTTGTGACAGCTTAGCTGATGGTTCCACCTTCATTTTTTTTCTCCAATCTGTTATGTTTGGGGAAATCCTTCATGTGGTCAACAAACCCGCTGATTGGTCCCAGGACACCCTCTGCAACTACAGTTCCTTCTGTTCTCCCCTTGTTCAGCTACATATCTGGTGCAGCAACCATTACAGTCTTTTCATTTTTGAAAGATCTCAAGCCCCTTTCCCACTCACGGACCTTCCACATGCTGTTTGTTCTTCATACAATATTCTTTTTTTATATGAAATAAATCTATATTTTTGCAGTACATGTTGCATCATATAATAATAACATTCATTATGGATAGTTGGTACATGTACATGACACATTTTAATCATTTTTAATCTCCTTCCCCCAATATTCTTTTGTACCGCTTCTTTTTATACCCTTCCCCTTAAACATTAATTACTTGGAAAGACCTCACTTATTCCCTTTCCACCTCCTACCTCCTTATACACACATCTCTTCTTATAATCTGTCACAACATAATTTATTTTTCATTTTAGCATGTATCACTATTTGTCATTGTATGTTTTATATTCTTAATTTCAGTTGCTTCAATGAAACTCTAAGTACATAGAGACAAAGACCTTGTATCTGCAGCCCCAGTCTTAGCATAGTGCCTGACACATTGTTGATGTTGAATTATTTTTTAAAATAGTCAAATAAATAAAACTGTTTTTTAGAAAAATCTTTATTAAATTTATTGGTACATTTTAGGTATACAATACAGTTACATTCATCATTGGCATCTTGTTCCTTTACATGACTTATCTTGGTTCTTATTTTTCCCCATTACCCTGCCCTCCCTACACTCCCCTTTTTCTGTTTACTAAAGCATAGTTTCCATATTTTTCCTTTTCACATATTTTTTCTTTTCCCTTTTTACCTTTCCCTTACCCCCCACTTCCTCTATATAAAATATATAGATAATATATATAAAATATAAAGCCAACATATTGATCATATGGACTTTTAATGAAGTAGATTAAGCATAGTTTCCATATTTTTCCTTTTCACATATTTTTTCTTTTCCCTTTTTACCTTTCCCTTACCCCCCACTTCCTCTATATAAAATATATAGATAATATATATAAAATATAAAGCCAACATATTGATCATATGGACTTTTAATGAAGTAGATGAGGTTATTATGGATTTGTGTAATGTAATAATAGGTAAGATTACTCACTAACGGTAGAAAAGCCCAATTAAATGACTTATAAAAGGAAGAATTTTGTCTTAACCCTTAAGCAGGGTTAAGAAAATAAACCATGAAAAGTAAAGTGCTTTTTGTACATTGTTCTCTAATATTTAAATTTAACAATATCACCTAGTTCCTTAAAAATCACTCCACTTTCTTATTAAACATTTAAAATTTCCTTGATTTATCACTTAATTCTTATTATTTTAGAATGAGAGCATTTATTCATATGAGAAGTAATTCTGCTCGGCCAGGTTTGATGACTAGATGCATAAGCTTTTAAATTTATTTGAAGCTGTTGGATGCCTAACTGTCGAGGAAGAGTGCATATCAAACTGAAAGTTCAATCTAAGTACTTGGTTTGAATAATTGATCCATAAAAATCAAATTCCTTCATAAAATATTTTATGAAGCATTAGAAGTAAAAACATAGATAATTTTATTTTCCTGGAGGAGACTTTTTATGTAGTGAATCATTCAAATTTCTAAAGTTCAAATTGAATACGTTTAGTGATTAAACTTGTACATGTTTACTGGATACATGCAGTTACGTGTATATATATATATATATTTTTTTTTTACAGAAAGTCCCCGAATTACCTTCAAGCCCCAAGATGTGGAGGTAACATCAGGAAATACTGTTTACTTCACTTGCCAAGCTGAAGGAAACCCCAAACCCAAGATTATCTGGATACATAACAAGTAAATACTGTACTGAGTGTGGATATATTTTGTAATTCTGATTACAGTAATTCTTTTATCTTACTTCAAATCATTTGCTTAGAGAAATTGCTATATTACTAGAATTTCTTGGAGGTAAAAGTATCTATTGGCTGTTGGTTTTTGATTTGCTCAAAATATCTAGAAGGCTTTTTAATAATTTTGTATTTCTAGACATTAGTGATTCTGAAAATAACTAAATATTTTGTATTATTTCTAAAAATAAATACTAAGATTGATAACTAAATAGTTTTGCTTTAAATCTTAATATAATTTGATATGACCTCACTAAATTACTTGTATAAAATATTTCATATTTGATATTGCAATATTCTTGCAGTAAATAAGTGTTGGATTTTTAATGGATTAATAATAAAGGCTATACAGGATTATTAAAATACTGATCATTTATTGAACTCTTACTGTTTTATAACTCATAGAGCTTTTGTGTCTAAAGATCAGTGAGTGTAAAAATACATAGTAATAACAAATTTTTTAAAAGTCAAAATTGCTGAAAAGGGAGTGGCTATCTAACATAAAATAGATATATAAAATGAAGTACATACCTAATACAATTCAATATTCTTGAACTTAAAATTGTCATTAATTCATTGTTATTGGTAACTAGCATGATTTTCATGTGTCTTTTCCCTTGCACAAAAATTTATTGCTTTTTTTTTGTTATTTGTATAATCAACTCAATTTTTATGTCTTTCACTATAACAGTCTGAGAGACAATATAGGTTATACATTTTTATATATGATTTTTACATTTCTAATTATAGCCAGAATCTCAGCCTATGCTGGAAAGTCATATTTTAAATTCTTGCAAAATATAATAAGTGTAGGTTAAAATAATTTGAGTAAGTTGGAGTTATGAATATCATTAAATCTGGAATATATCCCAGGAGGAAGATGACTCTTGATAAAAGCACTTCAATCTATTTCCATTTTGAAATTGTTCAGGAACACTTGAGAAACAATTAATTTTCTCTTCATTATGTCTTACAACAGCTTGCTTAGTTTCTTTCATAGTTGGAATTAAAAAATGTGTTTAAGGTTCTGAAGTTACTAAGTACTATTTAGAGAAGAGTGAATGAAAAATCACATTGTATAATGCAAACCTTTAAAATATAATGTTAAAGAAGCTAATGTACATTTGAAAAGGAGCAAACATGAAAAAAATGAATAAATGAAGAAAAGATGATTTAAAGGAAATGCCTATGAAAATATAAACCAGATTTTAGAAAAATTAATGATGAAAGGGAAGAATTTATAACAAGAAATGTTTAGCAATAACACATCTTAACTTTTTGCTTTTTTATTGTTGAGCTTTTTCTATAAAGATAATAATATATCCCGAAGGTGTATGAAATATTAAGTATAGCATAGCAAATAATTTGAAGCAGTCATCTCTTTAACATAAATCATTTAAAAAAAAATTCTACTCACTCCTTAGAAGCTGCTGTGTGATCCTTCCTTATCACTATGGATTTCTTCTACTGTGGGGATAACTTCCATCTCGAATATAGGTCCCTTAGAAAAATGGACTCAAAACTGATTAGACACAGTCAAAGACAGAATTAGAAAATTGGAAGGTAGATTTGTAGAAGTAAGCAGATTTTAAAGTGGCTAAGAGACATGGAGGACTACATGCAAAGGTCCAGCATATCCCCAGTGAGAGTTCCAGAAAGAAAGGTTAGATAGATCATCAAGAAGAGATGTCTGAAAAGACAAAGGCTCAAAAATTTCCAGAAATGAAAAATGAAAGGTGGAAGACTGACAGACGTATATAATTATAAAGTTATACTAATCATGATGATGATCATACAGCAATATTAATATAAACAAAAACCACTTTCATTGTAATTGTGCAATTACATATCATTAGGTCAAATTTAATAATAAAAGGGTTCAATTCATCTGGATGTAAGTTCCATGAACTTTTCTTTATCTGACATAATAGTTGCCAAATGTAAAAAAAAAAAAAACAAAAAACAACCAACAACAACTGACAGCAATAATAAGGTTAAATAAGCATGAATGCAAATATCTCAGAAACCTTAATATTATTTTTTCAGAAAGATTAAAAGGAAAAGTTAGAAGGCATATGCAAACATAACTAAGAACCCTAATGTAATATAGAACACATATGTATATATAGACACACATGTGAGTACATGTATATCTGCCACATTAGAAGCTAAACTATATATTTTCAACCAACTCTAGAATATATATGAAGATTGATCACATATAAAGGCACAAAATCTCAAATCTTAGCCAATAATCAATTTTAATAAATATCTTATTTTGATTCATTTGTAGTTACTAAAAACATTACCATTGGCTGGACAATTTTTAAAAAGAGGTTTATTTTAGCTCATGCTTCCAGTGCAAAGTCTGCAATAGAATTGGATGCATCTCCTGATGGTCTTCTTGTTGACAGAGTCCTGAGACAGTACAATCACATGGCAAGAGACAGGGACAAACTTAGACTATCATATCAGCCTTCAATATAACCTATTCATCAACTGGCTTAATCTATTACCTATTTATCTATTACATCCCATTCATAAGGGTAAAACTTTTAATTACCTCTTAAAAGTCTCACTCTCACCCCTTAATATCCCATTATAGGAATTACATTTTAATGTGAATTTTGAAGGGAAAAACATAGTCAAGCCATAGCAGAATCATTTCTTTGATCATAATTTTTTTAAAAAAGTAGACATTACTCATTTTTCAAGATTATTTTGGAAATTATTTAGGTTTCTCCTAAGGACATTGAAGTGTTGGCCAGCAACCAGGAATACTACTCAATATATATATAGTGCTTAAATAACAGAATGAATGAAGTCAAACAGGGGAAACACTTCAGGCTACTGGAAGGGTGTGTTCAGACACAGGATGGAAGTGAATAAAACTAGTTTCAGGGAACAAGGTAGATCTAATTTAGGGAAACAAAAGGTATTTTATCTCAGAGGGAATTAGAAAAAATATTTTAGAATGATTGACTCCAGTCTTCACTTTATAATCCGTGAGCATCACCGGAAGATGCATGGCAAGACAGTGATGTGATGAAAGAGATTTTTAAACCAGCAATGTTTTTTTTAATGTTAAAGTTCCAGACCATGGAAATCTCAGTTATTCTAAAAAAATCTAAATTATGTGGTGTATATGATTATGACTTAAAGTAGATTACAGCAACAATTACAATTATATTCTGATGTGACTGAAGATGGCTCTGTATGTGGTAAATATTTATAATTTGTGTGATGGTAATGTAGTTGTGTTTTTAGTGATTAGTTATAGCAACTAGTTCTTAGCAAGCATTTAAAGCTTGACACAATAAATTACAGGTCATTGATATTTCTTCATCAAATCAAATGTACTTATTTGCATATTTTCAAAGAAAATTCTAAGTATACCCTATTTATGCAAACCTTTGTATTTTTTATACTTTGTACTGTTTACAAATGGTTACTGTCCGGCTTGTAACATACTGACAATGTGAAAGGGAATATTTTATACCATGCAGACTTATTTTGATTGTTAAAGTAACACCATGATTCATGAGCATACAAGTTTTATGAAGAAGGTATAAACAAAGGGAAATAACTAGGGAAATGAACAATGCATTTTAAATTTATGGGTGTGATGTTTTGCTGACCATTTTATATTTATCTTATCTTAGGGAATTTCAATGTATTCTGTTGCATTGTCTAGCCAGATGGTAGATATCATGTACACTTCTGGTAGCCTTTGAATTGTGGGATGCCAAGTGTTAGAACAATACTAAACTAAACCAACTTTTGAAATATACAGTTTCCTTACTGTTGGCTTATTCATTTGCATGTGGTTGTAAGTTGGTTCAATGACATACAACTTTAGAATTGTGTTAAAATAATTGAGGTTAATGTTATGTGACTTTTTTGAATCATGCTTTCTGATATTTATACCAAGTTATGTATATTGAGTAGCTTTAGCATTTTATACTTCAGAGAATATCCAGCTTCCTCTTCTTTGACTGTAATATGCACTGAGAGGGCACATGTCTTTAATCACTGTATCTATTAAGTTATTAAGTGAGACAGGATTGTGTGATCCAGGTTCAAAAAAAAAAAAGGTGAAACAGGGCCATTGTCTACTTATTGTGTTTATGACAAAAATTGTTGACTAAGGATGCCGATTTCTCTCTCTGACATGATTTAATATTTTTACATATGCAAGAATGGGGCAAGCTATTTAGGATTATCTGAGACACACTGACCTATAAAGCTAACAAATTACACAGAAAGCTATATGATTCTTGCAATGGGCCTTTTCCTTCATGAAGGGTATTTTTAGTTGGTGATACTTGCCTAAATATCTATATACCTCCTCATGTAAGATCATTAAATACTTTTAAATAAAAAAATCTTGATCAGAAAGAATATTCTGTAAAAACCTTTAATGCATATTTATGTGTCAGTAGCTTTGTATTTATTGCTGAAAATAAAAGCACTCCCTTGCTTGTGATTATTGATGTAATGTGATATTACATGTCTGAACTTGCTTGTCTCAGTGGATTATTTGTTTAATTGAGAGATTATATTTTCATAGTGTATAAAATGGTTTGCATCTGTCATTTGGGCATAATATCCAATAACTGGGTAAGTGGGGTATGCTTTATTTAATGCAAAGTGATATAAACATATAATTATAGTGGGTTTTGAGCCATGTTGCTTGGAATGGAAATATTTCTTTATCACTTTAACAAAATGTGGAAACATATTGACTGACTCACAGGAAAGAGGTGAGATACTTGCATATCACCATATGATGATTCCTCTTTCTTAAAAGAGAAATTCAGAAGTGTTACATTGTTCAGAAATAGTCTTTATGTAGGAAAGATTGCACAAGAGATGGAAAGTATGTTGCCCATAAAGGCAGGGCATTTAAATATCCTTCCCTTTTATCATGGGTACATATTCAGGGTATACCCTCAAAAACTGAAAAGAGAAAACTAGAATTGAGTAAAGTAGGGGCCAGGGATTTGGCTCAGTGGTTCTGCTGCCTGACTTGCAAGCACTGTAGTTGGTCTTGTTAAAGTTTTAAATATGAAAGAGATTAAATATGAGGGGAACGGCTGAGAATGTAGCTCAGTAGCACTGCTGGTGCCGGGCAAGTGCAAGGTCCTAAGTTCATTTTGATCCCCAGTACCATGAAAAAAAAATATTAAAGGGAGTAAATAATAAATATGTATAACTTATTTCCAGCCGTTCATTGCATTTGGAAGCTGACACTCGACTTAACATGTTTGATGATGGAACACTCATGATTCAGAACACCAGAGAGTCGGACCAAAGTGTCTACCAGTGCATGGCCACAAACTCTGCTGGGGAAGCCAAGACTCAGAACGCCATTCTCAGATACTCAAGTCCTCCAGGTGAGTATTTTCACAATTTCCTGGTTGAGATTGATATAAATACATCAGTTACCTATCAGTTATTTACAGTAGAAAATGACCTTATATTGCTGCTCTAAAATATTCAGATTTCCAAGTGAAATAATTTCTACTGATTGGGGTTTTTTTGACTTGCTTTAGGGGAAATAGAACCAATATTTTTCCTTTTGAAGTTTATTGTGTTTATTGAAAATATAGACATTTTTGTCTTGGTTATTTTGGGTTTTTTTTAGCTTAAATGTAAGCTTGGCTTTTATTTGTTTAAAAATATTTTGGCACTTTTATTTTTTTATAGAAATAAGGATAATATTGCTTTTATACTGTAATGGGGATTAAACAATATATAATATTATAAAATATATATATAAGTAAATACTTTGCTGATAATATAAATATGTAATTGTCATTTCCAGAGTCTGATAGGCAGCACCAACACTTTTCATTTATTTTTTTTTCATTGAATTTATTGGTACTTTTTAGGTATTCAGGGCAGTTACATTCATCATTGTGATCTTGTACCTTTACATGACAGGTCTTGGTTCTCATTTTTTCCCCATACCTTGAGAATTTTCTTGTCACTGTGACACATCCAACACCAGCAACTTAAGGGACAAGAGATTTATTTTGGATTATAGTTTGTAGAGGTTTCAGTCCATAGTTGGCTGGATGCAGGTAGAGCAGCACGGCAGAGGGGCATCTCAGAGGAAAGAGTTCATGACGTGGCTATGGGGAGTGGAGAGCGTGATCAAGGGAAGAGGGAGGAAGAGACACCTTTCCAGGCTGTACACCCAGTCCTCCTCCAATGAGGCTTCTCCTCTCCAAATCACTTTAATTATAATCAGTGGACTAATCCAATTTGAGTATCACACATTCATGATCCTATAAAAGCCCCACCTATAAGCACTTGAGGCTTCGGGGGGCATCTAGATATAAACCATAACACATACACACACACACGCACACACACACACACACACACACACACACACGCACACACAGTTTTGACAGTGCTGAGAATCTAACTTAGGGCTTCATGCATAGTAAGCAAGCACTTTCTCACTGACCTGCACTTCCAGCCCTTTAATTTCCTGCATATTTTCTATTTTTTTTTCCAGTACACTTCAGACACGACTCCATGCCCTCAGGACTTTTCTGTTTTCCTTTTGATTGCACACACAGCTTTCCAATATTGAGGCACAGCAAACCTATTGCACCCAGGCACTAATATCACCTGCTTTAGAAATTCAGCCCATCTGTCATTCATCATCCTTTATTATAAACATATATTCAATGCCTACTGATCTGGTATTAAGGATTGTATACCCCTTTGCCTCTCCAACAGCTTTGGCATAATTTCAATGACTTATGTAAACAAATTATGGTAACTTTGACACATTTTTATTAATATAATTTCAAGATTTGGAAATATATTATCCCTCACCTCTGAGACAATAGCCATGATTCGATACAGTGATTAGTTTTGTGATGTGTTAGGAGAGCAGATGAAAGCAGAGTACTTCACTGGCATGGTTTTGTGCTAGTAAATGTTGCAAAATGGCTCTGAGGTGGAGAGACCCTTGATTTGCAGCACTTATCAATTTCTGCAAAGCTAACAATCTGCTCATTTCCGATTTCCAACATGGCATCACTGAATGTGGAGTTGAGAAGAAATGTGCAGGAGCTCACCGTGATGCAGCCTTCCACCATGAAGACATAAAAAACACACATAACTTCAGACTCATGCATCAGAGCAAAACACAGTAAAATAACTGCAATGAATTTTAGAATGTAGATTTGACATTTTTGAGATTTATTTAATTGTACTTTTATGTAACTTGACTTTTAATAATGACTGCCTAACAGTTAACTTTCAGAATAATGAAAATTTGATAACTGGTTGTCAAGAACTAGTTCCAGCATATCACTTGGTGCTTGAGAAAGAAAAAGTTGCCACAGAGGATAGAACTGAGGTCATTGGACAGCGTTAAAAATATCAATAGAGATAACAAAGAGAACGAAGCAGGAAAGGAAACCTAGGAGCAGATTTAGAGAGTCATATTCAATTGATAAATATTTTGTTCAGGAACAGGGACATCTAAGTGGAAAGGAGGACAAATAAGAGGAAGAAGGATAAGTAGAGGCACAACATTATTTTAGGAGAAAGGAAAGCCTAAGGGGAGACAGAGAAGGGAACAACCAAGAGATGAGAGCCTTGGGGGATATGGAGGGACAAGCAAAGTCCCACTGATTTGGGGAATTACTAAGTATGTTGGATTGTTCAGACTATTTAAGATTGACTTATGTAAGAGTGATCAAAAAATTTTTTTTTCTTCTGATGAGATATCTCTGGCTACAGTTCACAGAACAAACAGGAGGACTCAGAATATTGAGGCAGTTAGCTAGCTACTGCTACGAGGCAGGTGAGAGCTGCTCATGGCACACAAAGGACAGCTGGAAAGCCACTGGGGGGAAATGTGATGAATCAAGATTTACCCCAGCAGGAGAAAGTATATGCATTGGAGATTGACTAAATATGGGAATTCCTCTCATAGTTTCCAGATAACTTCTTTTATTAGTAGTATATGTTTGTGATACATAATTATTATATTCAGTTTGGGAAACTATATACATATCACACCTTTTTAATTTTTACTTTTTTTCCATGCCTTCCCATATGACTTTCCCGTCTCCACAAAGTCTAGCTCCCTGTTTTCTATCATCTATCTTTCATTTTTCTCTTTATTTATATTTTGAGCTTCTCATATAAAAGGAACCATGCAATAACTAATCTTCTGAGTTTAATGAATTTCACTTAAGTATTATCTCAAAGTGCACCCATTTTTAAAACAAATGACTCAAGTTTACCCTTCTTATGGCTGAGTAGTACTTCTTATGGCCATGTATAAATACCACCTTTTTAAAACTCTTTCATGTGTTGATAGGCCTATAGGCTGCTTTCAGCATTTAGCTAATTATGATTTGTGCTGCTGTAAACATGGGTGTACATGTATCACTGTAATATGATATCTGTAACTTTAGGAAGATACCCAGAAGTGGTATAACAGAGTAAAATAGAAGTTGTATTTTTTTCTTTTTTTGGAGGTATCTCCATAATGACTTCCACAGTCCTTGCAGCAGTTTACAGTAGATCTACAATATAGGAGGGTCCTAATGGGCAGATTCATGCTTTCCACCTCTCGGCAGAGTCTGATGCTGCAAAGATCATTTCGTGGCACCTCCAGGACTCTGCTTCCTTCACTTCCTTTCCCAAACTCTTCAGCCTTCTTTCTCATGCTTTTCTGCCTGCTTTACATCCCTCAAGGCCCAGCACTCTTCTCTCTTCCTTTTGTCATATTTTTTGCCCTCTTCCATTTGAGCTCTTCTTGAATTTTCATTCAATTTCCAAACATTTAACTTTAGTAACTAGTATAAAAGTCATACATTTATTGCTCAAATCATTCCTGAGATTTAGAATAATATCATGATTTCTAATCCTTAAAATAAGATGTTATTAATTTTCACGTCCCTCAAGTGTGCTTTTCCATTCAAACTGCCTTCATGCTATATTACTACCTAAGCTAAAGTTATTAATAGCCCTCAGAAACCTCAGATCCATCCTACATTGCTAGCTTGTCTTCCTCAAGTCCCTAAAAATTTCTTCTGGATATGTGTCAGATTATCTGCTTCTCCATATCCACTGTCACTGTCTTACTTCAAAAATATTTTTTATTTCTATTGTATGAGCTTTCCCTATGCTGTTCTTTGTGTCCTGGCAGCTTCTTCTACATGAAATTATACCTAACTCTAATAAAATTATTTTCCAGGTGAACCATAGTTTTACAGACTGGATATTTTGTCCTCTGACCGTGAACACACAGCGAAAGGAATACACACACACACACACACACACACACACACACACACACACATTTTTCTAGAACACTTCAGGCATCCATTTTATTAGAAACTGAATTAAACCTTCACTGTTGTTTTTTTGTACCGGGGATCGAACTCAGGTCCTTGCACTTGCGAGGCAGGTGGTAGAACCACTGAGCTAAATCCCCAGCCTCAGGCATCCATTTTATTAGAAACTGAATTAAACCTTCACTGTTGAATTAAGTGGGCCAAGGTATTCTTACTTTTCTCAGTGTGTTTCCCTCAGAATCCAAGTAGTGCTCCAAACTTAGATTTCATCATTATCATTTCTAGCACTTTAGTAAGCCTTCAATTCCCATTAGAGACAGAACTCTCCTCAATAAGTAAGAGTGGAATCCTTTATGTGGAATTCACTTGATAAATCAATTTTCAACACCTTCAGCTGAAAGTAGGTGAAAAGTTGACTATAGATGGCCAAAAACACATTGTGTATGTTTGTGCATGCACGTATGTTTTAATTGTATTCAGGGATAGTCTGGACAGAGCTGCCACATTGCCCCAGTGAGCCAATGATATTTTTCTTCTAGTCTTCAATCCTTTGCACATAGGTCTCTTTTCCCCCTTGTAATTGTCACTTCTCGCTTGCAAGTTTGCTCCAGTAATTGAAGCTCATGCCTGAATCCCAGGTAGCAAACAGGAAGGAAAGCAATGATTAGTTAAACTTAGACCTGTTACTTGAGAGAGAAAACCTCTTCCCAGTGTTGTATGCCTCTGTTTCATTGGCAGAACTGTTTTAAAAACTGGTACATTTAGGTATTTATCCTTTAAAGTAAGGAATAGATATTGGGTGAAAACGCCGCATTGCCCACAACACAATAAAGTTAAGACAAGAGATATTTTAAAAAGATATAGACATTTATGTGAAATCCACATTTAATTTATTTTAGACTTAATTTCTTCAAAACAGTGCGCATGTGACACTTTAGGATAAAGGCACTTTGAAAATGACAATAGTCTTAAAAGCACAATGCAAAATAGATAATCTTTCCTGACCATTACTGGCTAATGTTTGTTTTTTATTCCTTTTTGACTCAGCCAGACCCAGCTTTGTAACTCAGCCCCAGGACACAGATGTTTTAATTGGCACCAGCACAACTCTGGGATGTGTGGCCACAGGCCACCCCCACCCACACATTACCTGGACCAGGAGCAATAGAGAGGCCCTGGATGGATCCAGGCAGGTGGTGACTTCCAGTGGACTTCGTTTACAGAACATCTCCCTGGAGGATCATGGTGGATTCACCTGTCATGCGAGCAATAACCACGGCTCTGTCCAAGCCACAGCAAACATAAATGTACAAGGTATGGGAGCAGGGGTCATGATTGAAATGGTTCTGCCACACTCAGAAAATTATTTTTCAAGTTAAAAAGTAATGCCATATATGTCAGGGGAGAGATATTTTCATTTGCCGTGTATTTTGGACATAATAGAATTTTCAAGACTAATCTGCTTCAACCTAGAAGCTGATTTTTTTCCACTTCAGTATTTACCCAAATGCCAACACCAACCATATTAATAGAAGATGAAGTCATTAATCTGGCAACCAACTGTCAAAAGATATTTGTGTTTCAGATTATTTTACAGATAAAGGGAAGACAGTCCAGCTATGAAAGTGGAAAGCTGTGGCCTAAGTTCATAAACATTTACCAAACTGTCTATTCTGCTGCATGGCTTGAGAACATGCTGAAATCATGCAACCACCATCATAAACTGTTCTACACCCAGAAAATAACTAAAGCACAGTTGTACATGTGCAATTATGTCACCAAGAAGATATGCTCTTCTGCTGTAATTTTGTTCTTCATTTAGGGCTGCCCTCTACTTTCTGTTTTTGCAAGTGTATTTGTGTGTGTGTGTGTGCGTTCTCTATCCACCTGTAGATTTAAAGTTGGTGCAAACAGCAGAATATACATAAATGTCATTGTGTGAGGCCATCAGTCCTATCCTTTATTTTTTAAGTAGTCAGATGATAGATAGCAAAATAATTTACAGTTGTCCATTTAAATGATCTTTTGGAGCCATGAATATTGGAATTGAGTTAAGAAATTCAGCATTTTCAGATTTACATAGGATGTTACTTATGAAACACCAAACTATCATGAACACAGAAGAAAATCTAGCATTATAACTCTGATCAGCCCAGTGCAGATTGAGTGTTGAGGAAACTTCAGGACAGTGAGTCCTGACTCTTTATACACAGGACTTTATCCTCCTTAGGTTTCCTGCACTGAATATTTTCTGAATTGGTGTAGTGTTAACTCTGCAGCAATAGATAACCATTTCTTGCTGCCATTGACATGTCTGAGGAAAAATTTTCTCCTAGAAATGCTAATATCATGAAAAACATCTTTCTTGCTCTTAAAAGAAAGTGCAAAAATGAAAATTTTCAGAAAGTCTTTGGTAACTCTCAAGGGAAATTACTTTTTAAGGACAAACATTATTTTTAGACTTGTTTCAGTGTGCTGATTGAAAAATGCTTTGGAAGAAATAATCTTTGGCTTCTGTTTTGCTTGCAGTTTTATGTTTAATGCCTTAGAATTTTAGAAACCTAAGACCTAATCAAACATTTCCATGGTAGCAGTGTTTTATTTCACACTGTGCTGGTCTTGCACATTCCAGTTTCTTGTATGTAGCTCCTACTTGTCTTGTTTCTCCATCTGCATCAATTGATGTTTAACTAAACTCTGGTAACATTTACAGTCTGCTCATTTTGCATCCGACAATGCTACTCATTTCTTTTTGCCAGTTGATTTGTGCTGAAATCACCATCTGCTTGTCCTTTGTCTCTTATAACTGTGTACTTGTGTTACTGTGGATCTGTGTATTGACAATTTTAATTAGTCTTGAAATGGTCCATTAATCATTCTATACATTTATGAAATAGGCTTTTTAATTTGCTTACTGAATAGACTATTTTAAGATGTACCCTTTTTGAGTTTCTTTAACAGGGATTTGATCAATTTTTCTTTAGTTCTTTTAAATTTTTTTGAAGCCAAGGCTACAATTATCCTGGGGTAACACCACTTCCCTAGAGTGGTTGGTAAAAATGATAACCACAATGCCAACGTTGAAAAATATAAACAGCTTCAGTGAAATGGCACGAATCAAAGTCTGCAGTGCTTAGGTGAAAACCCTGCTGTCGCTTACATTGTAAACCAAGTGTTTTTGTAGGCATAATTATGGTTATGAATAGCCAGCAGGAAGAATTTTAATAGAGTAGCAAAACAGTACATCTCAGTGTATGCTTCTTTAGCACTGGAGGTGGGATTCACCTGACAACTTTTCAGTGAAAGAGTCCTGACCATCCACTCTGCATTCCCACCCAATCCCTGCAGCCTTCATTGCCTACCTGTGTGATGTTTGTTTTTTCTTTGTCTCCCCGTTACGTAGAAATTTCTCCACTGATCTAGCCAATGTTAAGAAAAGCTATAAACTCTTACATTATGTAATTTTTTTCCTATTGTTTGTAAGCATGTTGAATTTTAGGATTTTTCTTCCCCCTTCCTCTTTTCCTCCCACAGTACATGAAGTAAACCAATGCTTTTCACCCTGACTTGGCAAACTGAGTTTTAATTATTATTAAAAAATTGAAATCACTTAAGAATAGAATCTTAAAGTCCATGCATTAAAAAAATTGAAATAAAAATTTCTAATGTTGAAACCTCAACTAAATGTCTTCTTTGATCTACCAACCTATCTTTATCACATAGCTCTACTATGTCATAAATTAGTACTTTAGTTTAGAAACATTTTTGTTCTTTTTAAACCATATCTAGTAATTTCAGGAGTTAGTTTAATGTTCTGGAAAGAGCATCAGGTTAGGGGTTGAATGAGCTAGATTCACACACCGTCTTTGCCACTTATTAGTTCTGACAGAGAGAAATTCAATTCAGCCTCATTCAATCTGAGTTTGTTCATCTGTGCAGTAAGGACCCTGAGACTGCTGGTCTGTGGGATAGTTTCCAGCTTGAGCTTTCTAGAAGTCTCTTATAAATAGCTGGCACACATTCTTGTGTGACTTTAATATTAATCATTTACCACAGGCATTTGGTGTAGCCTCTTAAAATTGATGAAGACTTCCAAAAGTCATCTTTATTATCTTCCCACAGTATGGAGGTTGCAACAAATACACTTTGCCAAACAAAAGTATTTACTTTATCATGTTGATTGCTTTTGCAGATGGGGTTGGGAGCAAGGGGTACTAGAAACTGCAGAAACCTAACACCAGAAATAACTTTCCAAGTTAGCAGGAAAGTTCAAGATGTGGTTTCTCCTATTAAAATGGAATACTACTCAGCCATAAAGAATGAGAAATTAGAGTCATTCATAGGAAAATGGATACATAATGAGGATATACTCCGAAGTGAAATAAATAAGTCACACATGTGTAAATACTGAATAGTTTCTCTGGTGTGAATAAACTACAATAGTACATATGATCCTAATGAGATAATTGACAATGTGAAATAGGAAGAAAAGGACTAAAGGTGTAGGGAAAGTGGGAAGGATAGGGGAAAGGTAATAAGGGAAAATAAAAAAATATGAGAAAATGAAAAAATAGAAATACAGTGTTTATAAATGGAGAGGGGAGGAGGGGGTGAAGGGGGGCAGGGAGAAGGGGAAAAAATGAGAACTAAGACCTATCATGTAAAGGTACAAGATCCCTATAATGAATGTAACTGTACTGTATACCTAAAATGTACCAATAAACTCAATGAGGAAAAAAAAAAAGAGATACATACACAAAGAAGAAACTGTCGCTACTTATTGGGGATTACTGTGTCTTTCTTAAATGGCCACATTGACTTGTTTTCTTAGTAATCAAAGTGTCATGCACAGAATCTCTTTCTATAAATTGTGTATGTGGTTACATGTTATGCATTATTTACATAGAATCAAGTTCAATGGATCTGAATGTTTAGACCTCCGAATTTTGACTTTAATGTGACTTTTACAAAAGTTGTAAGAATGTTCATACTAACCAACATGCTTTTCTTTCTGAAATTTGTTTCAAAAATTTTGTGTGTGAAAATTTGGAGAAGGCCATTTTGCTAATGATTCAAATATGATTTATAGTTTTAAATACGTGTATTGCAATTAGTACATATGGGGTATTTAACCTTATCAGTGACTCCTGTAAGATTTGGAAATGGTCTCTTCTTATTGCCTTTTTTTTTTTTTTTTTTTTTTTGCAAACCAGGTGGATATATATTCTTGTAAGTAAGCACAAAAACACACAAACAATTTCATGCTTTATTTTTAAATTTCATGCTCTTAATACTTTGGGAAATCAAACACCAGTAACAACTTCTAATTTAACAGCATATTTTTTCTCTTGATCTTAAAAGTCATAAAGGAGCTAAAGGTGTAGGGAAGGTGGGATAGGTAGGGGAAGGGTAATAAGGGAAAAGAAAAAAAATGTGAGATAATGAAAAGATGAAAATAAAGTGTTTGTAGATGGGGAGGGGAAGAGGGGGTGAAGGGAGGGCAGGGACAAGGCGAAAAAATGAGAACCAAGACCTGTCCTGTAGAGGTACAAGATCCCAACAATGAATGTAACTGTACTGTATCCCTAAAATGTACCAATAAACTCAATTAAAGCTGGAAAAAAAATAAAAAATAAATAAATAAAAATCAAAAGCATGGACACACACAAAAAAAGTCATAAAGTAACTTTCTGTTTGGATGAACTCTTTTCTTCTCTTTAGCTACACCACAATTCACTGTAAGCCCCAGGGATCAAACAGTCCTTGAGGAACATGCTGTGGAATTTCTTTGTGAAGCTGAAGGCCACCCACCTCCAGCAATTGTCTGGACAAAAGCAGGTATCAAGTGTTGACAAGTGATTGAGGGAAAGAAGGAGCACTTTCTTTTTCTTTTCATTTCTTTTGGAAGTATAAAAATGGTTTAAAATAATTATTATAAATCTATCATGGACATGAAAACACCATGCAAAAAGTAATCTTTACATATGACACAATCAATTTTTCTGATGTTTTAATTTTATGTCTTAATGAAATCATCCTTTCTGATTTTAAAAATGAAATGATTGGAAATTTCAGTGGTTTTAAATGTTTTTTTAAATAGCAAAAACTAGTCTGTAGAATGTTTCAAACTTTTTTATGATTGGCTTTTTTTCAGCTTTAATTGAGTTTATTGGTACATTTTAGGGATACAGTACAGTTACATTCATTGTTGGGATCTTGTACCTCTACATGACAGGTCTTGGTTCTCATTTTTCCCCTTGTCCCTGCCCTCCCTTCACTCCCTCCTCCCCTCCCCATCTGCAAACACTTTATTTCCATCTTTTCATTCTCTCACATTTTTTTCTTTTCCCTTTTTACCCTTGCCCTGCCCATCACACCTTCCCTACACCTTTAGCTCCTTTCTTCCCGTTTCTCAATGTCAGTAATCTTATTAGGATCTTCTGTATTATTGCAGATTATTCACACCAGAGAAACTATTCAGTATTTACACATGTGTGCCTTATATTTGGCTTTTAACTAGAATCTAAAAATCATCCCTTAGTACAGAATGAAATCGTAATAGAAATGAGATACTAAGTGAATTATCAGCATAATAAATCTCTCATAATAAAGCTACTGGGACAAGGTAGGAAGAGAGGCTCCACCCCACCCCACCCAGAGGAGCTAGCACTTCCTGGGAGCCTGAGGACTAAAGAACAAGACTGACTGAGGGCAGCACTGAGAGCTTGTGTGATTCTTCTGCAAGTGGAAATTTTAGATTCTGCGTTCTACATTCAGGTAGTAGATTAAATTTAAAAAACCTCTGCATTTCTAAATGTTATTTATTAAAATATTTGCTTCTAATCTTTAGGAGTCTGGTGAAGCACCATCATGAGAACAAGGTAGATCTGGAAGTCCCAAAGCCTAGATTCATATCTCTACTCCTCCATTTACTAGTATGAATTTGGCCAAATGATTTAACTGTTGTTGACTAGAGAGCCCTTGTCTCTATGCTGGAGATGATATTTCCTACATCAGGATTGTTATAGGGAATGATTTGAATGTATTTTTTAGCCATGAAGGACAGTAGCTGACATACTATGTGCCCATTCAGAAAATTTTGGCTATTGTTTTCCCATACATAACAAGACATTTAGTAAGATACAAGTTTTCACTGAAACAGTTGAAAGTGACAACTCTTGTTTAACAGTTAGTGACCAGGAGCAATGATGTGTTGAGAAGGTTCCAGAGGCTCTGTGCAAGCTTAGAGGGTGATAGCCTAAAGTTATGGTTGTGACCTAATCAGCAGGGGTATCTCAAATGCATCACACTTGATATGCTCCCTCAGACCTCTGAAAATTCTGTCACATTTTATATTCCAAATATATATACATATGCAAATGTTAGAGAGATATTTGAAAACTGTGTTTACTAATCAGATTAGTGTTAAGATTTGCATCCTAATTGAGGTTAGTGGGAAATTCATCAGGAAGCCAACTGTTCTGGTGGTGAGAGGAAATATTGCCTTGGAATACAGTGGCAGAGGTTTGGGGCAAGTCAGGGGTGGTGCTGTGTTTCTGGGGATGCAATGTTGGTCGGAGGCATCCCTACAAGGATGACACCAGTGGTGTCCTGAGAGATGGGTCTCCACCCTTGGCCTGTTCTAGTGTCATACAAATACAACATGGAGTACTTTCTGATATTTCCTCTTTGCAGGAGGGCAAATCCCGCTAAAGGGGCTGCACACAGTTCTGTTCTCTAGCACTTTGAGAATTGAGTGGGCTGCACAGCACCATCAAGGCCAATATGAATGTCAAGCAGTTAGTCCCTTGGGGGTGAAAAAAGTGTCTGCCCATCTGACTGTGAAACCCAAAGGTAACAAGTGCTGTGACTCTTTCACACCCTGAAGAGAGTGTTCCTTCTGTGTCATAGATACACCCAGCAAAGACCTTGTTACTTAGATTTAAAAACAAATATGTAGGATCTAAGATATTGCTAATTCAATGCTCTTCTTACAAGCAATCATTTGTATGACTACTCTTTTTTAATTAAAATTTTTATTTATATTAGTACTAATTAAAATCATGGTTTCTTTAAAAAAAACATTTCATGCTTTCTTAGAGCAGGTGTTATCTTTTCTGTGGTGTTGGAGATTGAACTGAAGGCCTCCCATAGGTTCTACCACTGAGCTACATCACCAGCAGTCTTAAATATTTTGCAATTAATTAATTAGCCCTTCCTGCAGAGACTATCACACATAAAGATGTACTTTCTCATTTCTCATGATCCTTTTACATTGGTGTAGTTTCTATGCTTAGCAATTTGGAGCATACAGTGCAAATATTCTCCTTCCAACTCTACGTGTGTCAACTGTACTTGAGTTTATTTTAAATAGTACAGATTCTGAAGAGAGGTTGTACCATTTGTTGAAAATTTATTGTAAACAGATGTAAAAGAAGAGAAAAATCAAGGTTTAAATGTTTCAAGAAATGGTTGTATATTTTTCAGCTTTCTCATTGCTGAGACACAATGCCCCAAACCCACAACATAAGGAAGAAAAAGTTTAAATTTGCTTATCTGGCTGGCTCCAGGGCAATGATATCATTGTGAAGGTCATTGTGGAGCAAAGCTACTTACCAGGAAAGAAAAACAGGGAAACAGAGGAAGAAAACAGTGCCAGAAAGGAAAAAGATGAGCCAAACGTAGAGCCCCAAGGCCACACCTCCATTTTGCACAGAGACATTCACAGAAATATGCTTTTCCCATCAATTTCTTGGGTGGATCCCAAAGCCAATCAAGTTAGCATTTCTCCATAATGGCCACAGGTTATTGTTAAATACTATTGAAATTTTTTTAGGCTCTGCCTTATAAGGTATGAAGTAAAAGCACAGCGAATGCTTAATTTAAAAAAAAATGTTGATTAGGGGCTGGGGATTTAGCTCAGTGGTTCTGCTACCTGCCTTGCAAGAACAAGGACCAGAGTCCAATCCCCAGTACCCCCCAAAATAAGATTTAAAAAAGCATTGATTATAGTAAAAGATCCCATCTTAGTCACTTTCTCACTGCTGGGCATAACACTGACTTCTGCAACTTAAAGGAGAAGCAGTTTATTTTGGCTCATAGTTTTATTCCAGGGCTCCAAGGCAGAAACAGCACGGTGGAAGGGCATGGCAGGAGGCAGATGGTAACCAGGGAGCAGAGATAGAAATGAAGAGCCCGGGACAGGAATAGACTCTTCCAGGTCATGTCCTTAGTGACCCCACTCCAGCCAGACTTCACTTCCTAACTTGTAGCTGTGATCTCATCAATGGTTTAATATACTAATAAGTGTAATGCCTTCATGGTCCACCTTTCAACACATGAGAGCTGGGAGGGCACTTGACATCTAAACCACAGCAGATTCCATTAATTAATACCCCTTGAAATACTTTGTTTCTCTTCACCCATATTTCTCATCACTCTTGGTACTTTCTGCAGTAATTTGGGAAGTCCTCTTTTGTAAGTGTCTTCAGTTGTACTGTCACGGCTGTCTCTATGTTCTGAATTGATTCTAAACATTTACCTCTCATGGTAACTTCGACTACAAGCAGTAGAGCTAGAAGTTATACAGTGCCAGGTTGGGTAATAAGGTGTATGAAGACACACTGTAACAGTTTCAAGAGTACCCATTTGTTGGATGGTATTTGGTAGTAGCTTTCACGTAGATTTAATCGTATCTGATAAAAATAAAACAGGGCTTCTAGAACTGATTCAGAAAGTGAAAAGAATGATGTGATAAGTGTGTTCAAAGTGAGGGATGGTACTTAGAGGGGGAATTAATGGCAATGTGTCTTCTACTGTAACAAATTTTAAAATTTAAGCATTCAACTTATATTTTGATCATACCTGCTATGTTGAAGTCCTGGCACTTAGTTACAGTATACGTAGCACCTAACTGCAATTCTCACACTTTTAATATGTTGATACAATTCCCTGTTTTTGCATGAATTTTGTATAATTCATTTTGGGGTGCTAGGTTTAAATTCAGATGTCATACACATTTAGATAAGAACATATGACAAGTAGAATAAAAGGTCAGCTCAATTCAGCAGTGTCAATGATACAAGAAATATTAAGTATACTTAAGTATTCACAATGCCTAAACAGATACTGAAGACTATAGTGGGCTACTCCCATCTGTTTAAGATATATTATTAATTATTTTCCCATTATTTTGTTAATGAAAATTGAGATCCAATGGAGGGAGAAGATATGAGGAGGATGTGCAGATAGCAGCTCAAATGAGTGGGGAGATTAAAAAATACAGTTATGGAATAATGAACAGATATGAAATGTTCTTTGAAAGCCCACCTCTAAGAGGAAATGCTCAAAACTGGTAGTCAGATTGTTTCAAAGTATATTGGAATCAGTTCGTAACTAAAATCTCCAAACCAGTATGTTTTTATATCAATATATTCTTAAAATGAAGAGATATAAATGAACTAACCAAATAAATCCTAAGGTGTAGGTGCTGAAATGACTGGTCTTCATTGTGCTCCATTGCTGCATCCTTTTATTGGCTACCTTTTATCAGTTGTTCCAACCTCAATATAGAAATTTCTGCCCATCCCAAGGGGATTTCCTCCACTGTCAACATACCAGGAGCTGCTCTGGTGGAAATTAGTATTAGAATAGACATTTTAATCTAAGAGTTGTAGAGGATTTGGTCAATCAAAAAAATGGCTGAGAGTATAAAATTGGTAATAGTCTTGAATGTAGAAATAAAAAAAAATCAAACACGTATTTTTAGAGAACAGAGAGCCTTAAGTGGGCATCGGCAGACACATGGCAGGAAGTAGTTGGAATAGTTGGTTGAAATATAGCATAACAATTCTTGACTTCAGGCTGTGGAACTATTGAAAGTTGTGATCAGATCATGTAGAATATTAATTAACCCAAAGTAAATAGGGTATGTTGGAATGGTGAAGTCCTAAAAGAAAGAAATAACTGTAACTATGACTATAGTTAAGTGACACGAGATCTAAACTAGAATCACAACACTGGGAATGCAAAAGTGAATTAATTCCAGAAAAAATATATGAAGAGGTGAAACCATTTGATCTCTGAGACTGTGAGCTATACATATTTTTCTCTTTTGTAGTCCCTGAAGCACTTTAAGTATGCCAGGTAGTGATAGTGTGATGAAGAAGCCAAGAAAGACAGGACAAGAAAAATATTCATCAGGATATGTCATTTTTAAAAATTGTCCAGGGAGGACTTTTTCTAAGACATGGTATTTTAGCAAAAACCTTAGTAAAATAAAATTTCACAACTTTGTTGAAGGATTAAAAGGGCTTAATCAAGTGATTATATGGTGAAACGCATCATGAGTTAAGGCAGACAAGAGTGTTTTGCTAAGAGAAAGAATTTAAAATGTTACAAAGAACTGAAAAAAGGAGAGCAAGGTGCCTATAATTTAGTGAGAGTTGAGAGTCACTTCGGTTGAATCTGGGGCTGTGGGTAAAGAGGGATCATGCAAGATCAAAATAAGATTTGGGATTTTGCCAAAGGACACAATGTGCTGCTGCTAATGTCTTGTTGAAGAGGAGTGACATGATGAAATGAGATCTGCTGTTTTCTCTACATGGACTTTATTTGAAGCAGACTGAAGTGTTCACTTTTAGGTTTAAAATGATTCTCAAGTGAAGATGCTAAGTAGGTAGTAGGGAATATAAATCTGCATTTGCATATAGAGGCCTCGCCTAGAATGGCAATGTGGAGTCAGTACCTGTGCACTGGATTTAAAGATTCTCATTGAGGGAAAAGTTCTAGGCCTGAGCCCAAAGGAACTCTCTGTAGGGAGTGTTGAAGGAAGTGAGAAATGTCACATGGGAAACTGAAAAATGTTCACAGATCTATGAAGAATTCAGGCATGCAAGCCAAGGGAATGTATAGGAGGCATCAGAGTGGAGCTCTTCATGAGAATAGGAGGGCAAGTAGGTATAAATTTACAAAATGCTTTTGTGATGTAAAGGTTATCTGAGCAATTAGGAAGAACTAAGTTATAGGTCAGTGGTGGTGAATTACGGTGTGTGTGCCGCAGTGGGCATGCAGAGTCCTCTCTGTTGGCAAAGAAGCCAAGTCATCTCAACATCATCCCAGCAGCTGAGCTTCAGATAACAGGATACCAGATGCAAACTTTTACCTTTCAGTAAACCACCCCCCCCAAAAAAACAAAACAAAACTGTGCCATTGCAAGATCTGTTATTGTGTTTTTCTTTTAAGACAAAAGATGTTAGTGTATGCCTTTTTTTTAAAAAAAGTTAAACCTCAGTATTCAGGTTTCGTTGGAGTGCTGACAGTTTGTGACAAACAAGTGAGCTTTGGATTGCAGTTGGGCACTTGGCCTCTGAAAGGTTCACTATTATTTTTATAAATAATTTGTTGGACTGCTGGCACTTCAAAGGAGCAGAGGCCCTGAAAGTTATGGTAGCAAAATTTTTAAAAAGTTTCCCTTATAAAAATATAATTTATATTGCATAGCAAAGCTAGAAGGAAGTACGTTAGAGTTATTTTGCAAGGTATGGTCAACCAAAATGAAAAAGAAAAGTGAGGAGGGGGGCTGATGCAGAATGAGAATGATGAGAGGTATGCATGGACAAATGGGAAGACTACCGAAAAAGTCCACAGTCCTGTGTCCCTGTCCTCTAGAGGAAGAGAATAGGATAAGAGGTGGGATGGCCTACAAAGGAGAGCCAGAGGATCCAGGAGCTACTTGGTCCAAGAAGCTGGGAGCTGCTGACCATGAAGGATCAAAGATGCAGTACCATTAAAACTGGTAAAACTTGGAAGCAGCCCAATTGCGCATCAACAGGAAATAGGATAAAGAAAATGCG